CTCAGGCTCCTTCCCCACCAGACAGGTGATGTTCCAGGTCCCAAGAGCCAGTTTTGGTAGGCCAGGGTCAGAGCGCCAAGGTCCCCGCCTTTGGATACTGCCCATAGCATCATGCACCCGAGTCATACTGCCCCTTCTGCAGGTGGTGGGCCCACAGGAAGGCAAACCCATGTAGCTCATCTGGGCTGAACCCAGCCAGGTCCCRTGGGTAGAGACCCGGCCACCAGGCRCTCRCCAACAAGCCCCTCCTCCAGGCCTGGCTCCAGGGTGGGRCYYTGKTGACCCASRTCCGGGCAAGGGACACTGAGTTCCTTGTAGAGACGGGATAAATGGCTTTTTGAAGGGATCCGGATCTTAGGGAGCATTTGTTTCATAGAGCTGTTCGATTTTGAACATATTACGTCATTACGTAGGACAATACGTCATCACGTAGGGCAATACGTCATTACGTAGGGCAATATGTCATCACATAGCCGTACGTAATGATGTAATCCCACGTGGGTGGAACCGTGAGCCTCTGTACTCCACAACTCCGCCTGTTTTCTGTGAAAAGGCAAAGCGAGACCAATTTAAGTATGAAAAATAAAGATTATATGAGGAATAAAAGAAATAAAACTACAAACGGCTCGTTACAGTCCACGATTTGGCTCCTGTCGTTCGTTGTAAAGAGCCGTTCAAAAGATTCGGATCGTTCGCGAACGTCACATCTCTAGTTTCTTGATCGTTTAGTGTCCACATGAGGCAGTTGAAACGTTTATTGTCTGGAACTGTTAACTTGGACCAATCTGCCAACTCTCCTCCTCCATGATGAGGTGATGATTCAACGGAGGAGTTGTTTTTTTCCTTAAGCTTGCAAAAAGGAAATATTTTATCTTGAAATCTCCTCTGTGCCAGTTTATGGAACAAAGAGGCATCATTATGTCAACAAAAATAAGGACCATGATAACAATCGGTTCTGGTCCTTTACTGCGATCAGTTCTGCCTGTCGGTCCGACATGAACAAGACGTGATCCCAGAGGTGGAAGCATATTTTACAGCAAATAACCCAGATGGTAGCAGGGAGCTTTCTGTCAGAACAGATGAGGAAACACCTCTTCAGTCAGGTAACCTTTGTGTTTCCTGCCACTGGCCTTGTGTGTAACAGCAGAGAGCAGCAGTGACTGGGGTCCCTCAGGGAGCTGCTTTAATCTCACACACCGGAACAGATTTCTCATTTATCAACCCTGTTTGCATCTCGTTAGCTGCCTCTCACATCTGTTTTACTGTGAAATGAGTAACACTGMGCAGATGGGCACATCTTTACATAAATATGGGAGACATTTTTTAACCCAGTTTAGTTGGTTCTTTGTGGCTTTGAATAAAAACTAATGTCCAGGGTTCCCACACCTTGGTCAACATCAAATTCAAGGACCTTTCAAGGACTTTCCAGTACCAATTTCCTCAAATTCAAGAACCACGCGCAACGGCAATTACCTCCTGCTACCGCAGAGTGTTACCAATAAACATGTTTAATATCATGTAAATTCAATGAAAAACTGAACACAGAAGTTGTTGAGTCAGAA